TATAATCTTTACATAATATGATGCATAAAAAAAATTAAATTCTTTTTGTAATAGATACTAGAGCTTCAACCCGAACCTCTCACTGCAGAGTCAACGGAGCCCCGTGGACCACTTGTGCACGCTTATTTATAAGGTCCAAAATTGACAACTTGACTACTAGACCTCTTCCTTTTTTTTTCTCCTCTTAGCATACATTCATAAAGTTTTTTTTCGTCGAACAAAGTACAGCCATTCGTTAATCATGCAATTTACCAGAAATAAAAAACATTAGTTATGCAAATTCTTTTTTTTGGAAAAAAAAAAAGAGCAAATGATTAAAACAACTATCATAATTATATTACAATAAAAAACAATCTTATAATCTATAAAACTAGTTAAGACTGAATTTTTATTCTACAAATATATATATATATATTGAAATTTTTGAAGCGTAAAGAAATTAGAAACTTAACAATAGCATCGGCTAACTATTTTTTGTAGGTTATCCCTGGGAGTGGTTCCACCATTCATGGGAAGAATCAAAGTTGGCCCTGACATAGAGACTTCAGAGTATAATGTAATCATGAAATATAAACGGAAAGGAATCTCTTGAATCTCTGTTCTTTTTTTTATTAATATTTCCTTTATTTCGTCCAATTATAAGAATCAAGTTAAGAAATGCAAGACCTCTGTTATCATGAGGGGGTACATAGCCATTACTCTTTCAGATAAATCAGTGATTTAAATCAACCCTTTCCTTGACCAATATTCAAAGAATAAGATTGTAAAGAATCTCGTTCCATGTATCAGGAACTCCAGCAAGACACCAGTGGCTGCAATCGATTCCTGTTGGTCCTCCCAACCCATATCTTGAAGGATGTCCGTCTTTCCGCAGCAGCGACAGGTTTGTTATGTCGAGCAACGTTACAGGGTTTCTTATTGTGCCTAATACCTTCTTTAGCACATCCAATGCTAGTGGCAGGCCTCCTGGGTATGTTGTGCCCAGTAATGGTTGTTCCTGCCCCACACAGCTCTTTGCACTAGGTTCATTCCATGAGCTGCCACTGATAATCAAAATTCAAATCCACATTAGCAAACTATATATATAATTCTAGAATTTGCCGGTCCTAAACTTGTCAAGGCCATCCAATTGATTTGGTTCGGGATTGACCACATTAGCTTGATCAAATTTGAAACCAAGATTGGTCAACAATTTAGAAACCGGTAACCTGTATACCATGAGCTACTTGCGGGTTCAAGTTGACACAACCTTAGACCAAGATCAAAACTAGGACCAAACCAAAACCGATAAAAAGCTAGACCATCAGGCCCATCACTCTTAAATAATTGTACAATCTCAATAAACCAAGACAGCTAATTCCAGACCGAAACTAAAATTATATTGGCTAGCTATATATGCAAGCCAGTTATGATTCTTGACTTTGCAAAACCAAGGCCACCAGTCTGGGTCAACACTGGCCCAAATTGGCCTGGGGCCATCATTAGTACTAATCTGAACCTGCAAATAATGGATGAATAATTGATGGACTTACTTGTAATGGGATGGAGAAATTCCTTGGAAAAACACCATAGATTTACGGGGATCAATGTTGGCATCAACCCATTTAGCCCATGTCCTGAGTGCAATTTCAAAAGCAAGCATCCTATCCATGTCCTTTTTAATCTCTCCGCCTACTTCAATATAATCCCAACTGAAAAATCATAAAAAATTTTAATCATCTACAACAATTATTAATAAACAGAAAATATTAATTTTGTTTAAATGCAGCAAGATGATGTGGGTATGTCTCTTAAGATTGCTTGCAAAAAGTAATTTGGAAATATCCTTACAGTAAATACTTAAAGATAAGATGAAACTTCTAGTCCGAGTTCAAATTAACATACGGTTGAGTCGGTCCACGACGGTTCCACCAGTGCCATGTGTTGAAGATGAGCAAGTCAATGCCCCTCCATAGTTTGCCTCCTTCAATGGAATCAAGCTTCAAGACCCTACCAATATCTTCCCGCACCACATCTACCAAATACACATTGCGATCAAGCATTACCTTTACTCCATAGTCCTGTCCCAGGTGAGGGGTTTTTTCAAAATTCCAAAAGTTATAGGGTCAAAATTGAAAGTTAAGAAGCAAATTCGAGAAGTCAGAAAATAACAGTGGCTAAGAAAAGGATGGACAGAAGTCCCAGTCAAAAACTGTCGGCAGGTGTAATTCAGCCCTTCTACTTTTAAGGTTGTGACATCTCAGTTTCTTCTCTATTTTAAATTAGTGCAAATCAGCCCCTCTACTACTCTTGACTCGGCGAATGATCCCTTCTGTTAAAAACGACGTTATTTTTCCATTGAATCGTCTGTTGCCCTGTTAAACTTGGATCACCCGGCCATCTGTTGGACAAAATAAAGCGACCTAACATTTTTGTTTCTTTCCCCTTAACTCACGTGACAAATCATGGATTTCACAGTAAAAGGGGCTGAATTGCACTTTTCTATTGTCGGCAGAAATTTTTGTATTGTTCTGCATAAGCTATGAAGAGTGATGAAGAATTCAGACTAAAATGTCAGAAATCTGTATAAACGTGCACGTTTTTGTTAAACCAGAAAAGGACTCGTCATCAATCAGAGGTTTCAATAATTCCAATGTATAGTTCACGAGATTTCTTAACTAAAATCTTAATTTATAAGTATCGTCCTTAACTAAGCTTAACCACCTAAAAGGTTTTTTTTTTTTTAATTAAGTATTTAGACCTTTAATCCACAATTTAATGAGCACTTGTAACTGAGCAACCTTCGCTTTATCACTAACAACTAAGTACTGTTAAGCTGACATGAGGAGATGCAATTACTTGCATATATGGTAAAAGACTTATCAAAAAAGTATACTTATCTTTGAATGAGGTGAATCCTTGATAATGAAGGTTATCTCTTATTCAAAGTTTTTTTGTTTTATAGTTTAAATTATAGAATAAGAAACTCTAAACTTATAACATTTACTATGCCAATTTAATTTTCATTATATAACAGGAGATAATGACAAGCGTGTAGCATGGAGCAGCTAGCAGTGCAGTTAACAGAAAAATGAAGGAAGCTATATAGTAGTATACCGTGAATTCAAATGTGGAGACGTCTCCCACTCTTGTTAGGTTGTAATTGGCACCAGGCATTGCAGAGTGAAGCATGCATGTCAAGGATTGCCACTGGTTCCGACTGAGAGAATCTCCAACGAACATGATGCTCTTCCCTCTGAACTTCTCCAAGAATTTCAAAGCATCAAACCTGCAAAGAAAGGATTGTTATTTCAAAAGCTATAAACGTGTAATAACCTTCAACTTCCAGAACTTAAAAATAGATTGTATTAAAAATGACAAAAGGATCTTTTAAAAATTTGCTTTTACACTAACCATATGTCAAACAAACACTTAATTTTGCTCAACGAAGTTCATGTTCAGTACTAACTAATTTACTATCATCGGTCAGGTATCTTTAACTGATAGACACTTGATATTTCAAATTAAATAACTTGATATTTCAGATTAAATATCTAGTATTTAAATCTTGAAACCCGAATTCATATATGTTTAGCTAATTCAGTTTGCGTTGGTTAGTTTGTTACATTACTTTGTTGAGTTGGTTGTCAACACAAAGAGACATAGAAGGAAAGGGAAAAAATGAAGCTGAAATAAAAAAAAAAAAAATGAAAACTGAACAAACAGACATGCCGCCGCAAATCCCGTGAAGTTGAAACACATGACAGAACAGATCCACAAATCCACACTTCACATGTCACCGGAGAATCTGTCTATCTTCCTTTCTTTCTTTCTCTTTTTTTTTTTTTTAATCTGCTGATCTCCAGGGCTAAAAACTTCATTAAAAATATTTTTGATAAAAACAAGATCAATCTTACAATGTTTCTTTTCTTTTTTTTTTTTTTTTTTTTTTTTTTTTTTAATGTTGAACGTTTCAGACATTCCTCTTGAGGAAATTACTATTATTGGACACCACATGACATGCTACTGAATTTGGACAAGGATTACTATCTATTGCAGTGTAGTGGGAACTGGGAAGCAAATGTGAGTACACTTTTCCAGGTTCACAATTATGCATAGCCACATGATTTTAAAATTTTGAATGATTTTGCACAAAAAAAAATTTTTTTTTTGAATGATTAAAGAGAAAAGGCACCAAAAGAGGGGAAAAAGTAAGAGCGAGAAAATTAAAGCAGATTTTGATTGGAGTTTTAATATTTTCTGTGATTTTTTTTTAATTTGCTCTAATTTAATTAACTAATTTATTTGTTATTAGAAACAATGAGCCAAATTACTAACTATTAAAAATAATGTAATAGTTATTTTTTCTATACAGATAAAACAAATTCGTCTGAATTTTAATCATAAGCTAAGATTTAGCATTGGATTTCAATGAATAAACAGTTTTTAAGATAGCTCGTGCAACCTTAATCCTTTAAACACTAAAGATTTTGTCATTAACGCTATTGTGGGATGGCATTGCATCATAATTATGGTTCGTTGTATTAAAAATTATTTCTTATCTAATAATTTATACGTTGGTTGTTTGAATTGTATAATAAAAAAATTCATTACATTAAGTTTCTAGAGGTTATAGTACAAACCTAAAATTAGTTTTTAATCAGCCTAAACAATAATGGAAAATAGTTTAGCCCCTCAGTAACTCATCTCTTCTTGTAGGTAGAAAGGGCGCATCAACCTTTTTTAATATTTCTGAAATTAATTATGATCATCCAAACTTTTTTATTATTACTACTTTATTTGTACTTTTATTTGTAACAATGATGATACTCGGAAACAGCTGCAAATATTCAATGAAAAAACAGGGGAGAAAATTGGCAGTACCTTGCTAAATCGCAGCCAAGAGGCTGCCATCTGTATTTGGTGTAAGCCAAATCAGGCCGGCCATTCTTCTCGCAACTGAACTCTCTCTCGATGAAGGGACATTCAGAGGAAGAATACAGAGGGTAGGAGGAATCGAAAACCCACCTTCCGCTAAACAGGTCGCAGTCCCCTGCATTTGCTTGAGGAAGAAGAGCAACACCGAAGAGCAGCAGAACTGAAGATGCAACAGAGTAACTGCATCGAAAGTCGTCGGAACCCATTATCGCTTTCAGAAGAAAGAGATGGATATCCAGAGAGAATTGGTGTGGGGTGAATGCTCTGCTTCTGGCTTCTTGTGTAAATGGCAGGGGTTTTAATGGCTTTCTTGCATACTTTATGGGGTGAGTTTTTATGGGTCCACAGAGAGCAGTTTGATACGCCTTCCTTTTTTAACTGTGAGGGTGACTTGAGTTACCCTCCTTCTTTTTGGACAATTTTAATTGTATAGCCTTCCTTTCGCGGAGTTCCAAATGATATGTCCAGGGTTTTTAAAATTGGACCGGATCGGTCGATTGAACCGGTTGAATCAGTACCAATAATGAAAATAATTTGGTTTACATAAAAAAACCGTTTGACGTCAAAATTGGTCAAAATTGATAAAACCAATGGAACCGATGAAACCGATAAAACCGAAAAAATCATCGGTTTAATTTCTCATGCAATTTGCTTTTTATTTTTTCCAATTTCACCCTCACCATTCCTTTCTTATATTGATTTTAACCCTTAATTTTAATAAAATTACAAAATTACCTGTCCCTCTCATCAGATTCTCCCTTGTTGTTTGGATCGATTGGTTCACTGGTTCAATCGATTGAACCGATCAAATTGAAAACCAAACCTAAAAATGGTTCAATAACCAATCGGTTTTAAAAACCTTGGATATGTATATTAAGTTTAGGTTAAATCCTCAATTAAGCTAAATTTAATAAATGGTTTATTGATTATATAATTTATTTCATATTAGTTTAGAAATAATTTTTCTTTTCAAAATGATTTATAAACTATTAATTTTGTTTCAAAATGGTCTACTTGACAAATACTCTGTGAATTGACTAATGGAATTAATTCTAGCTTATGACAAGCTATCCCCTAAACTTTTGAAAAATGTTAAATATAGTATATATATTTTTGTTTTTGAAATTTAAATTTTATGTCAAATGTAATAATTAATTAAGATAATAATTTTAATTTATATTGATCAAGATTTTAATTTTAATTTACAACAATCAATATTATAATTTAAATTTTATTATTTCTTAAAAAATTTAATATCATTATTAAATTACATATTTTTTTCACT